TCTAAGTATACGACATCCACCCCTCCTCCTGTGTCCAGGCATTTCGTAACCTGGTCATAAAAAGAGACTAGATTAGTCAGGCATGATCTGCCTGCTACGATCCTGTGCTGGTTTCCCCTCAGCATGATTTGTCCTGCTGGGGTCTTGCAAATGTGAGCCTTGATAACTTTTTCAAAGACTTTGCCAAGGACTTTTCTTCCCTCCTGCTCTACTCTGGCTTCCAGCTCTGCCCCGTGAGGAGGTGACTTGGGCTCCTGGTCTCATCGCCAGTGTACTCCCTGCAGAGTTGATAGGAAAGGCCAAAAAGAAAAATCTGGAGCTTCCTCTGCCTCCAGAACCTGGGATGGAGGGGAACAAGGCAGGGACAAGAGATTTGCTTTTCTGTTGTCTTTCCTGCATGGAGGCTCAGTGCACAGAGAAGAGGGAGGCTGACTTGACCAGTCTGCAGATCCCTGCAGGGCAATGCAGAGAGCCTGGAGACGAGCTGTTCTCTGTGGCCTCCAGGGACAGGATGGGAGTAATGGTTGTGAGCTGCAGCAGGGGAAGTGGAGGCTGGAGTGGATCAGAAACATGACTCTGAGTGGGGCTGAGTGTAGGAACAGGCCCTGAGAGATGTGGGGAGGATCTTTAAGAGGAGGCTTAACGTCTACATGGCTCTGGTCATTTGAGCCCCGTTTTCTCTCCTGCCCAGGGCAGGAGGTTGGACCTGATGATCTACGATATCCGTTCTGACCCAACTTCAGTGAATCTATGAATCTATGATCCATCCCTGGCAGGTCCTAGGATCTGGTTGCACAGGTGTGGGATGGTGTAGTGAGGGCTGGTCCTGCCTGGAGCGGGGGCTAGATGAGAGTGCCACGGTCCCTCCCCATATGCATGTTTCCAGCGGGCTCCTGGGAGGGGGCATAAAGGGCAAGCCTTGTGCTCACTGTTTCCCATGGGTTAGATGTAGGCTTGTGTCTGCTCAGCTCCTGGGTACTTCACCCTCCCTGCCAAACCACCAAACAAGAAATGGTTTTGCTTGTGAGAATGATCTAAATCTGGCCCTAGGCACCCATCTGGGGAAGGGAGATTTTCTAAGAGAGGGGATTTGGGTCCAGCAGAGAAAGACCCAGTGGCTGAAAGCTGGAGAATGAGGATCACAGAATCACAGACAACGAGGGTGTGAAGGGACCTCAGCAGGTCACATCTAGTCCATCCCCCTGCTCCAAGCAGAACCAGCCCCAACTACAGCATCCCAGCCAAGGCTTTGTCTAGTCACGTCTTGAAAACCTCTAAGAATGGAGATGGCACCACCTCTCTGAGGAGCCTGTTCCATTGTTTTACTAGTCTCCGAGAGAGAAAATACTTCCTAACTCAGGCGTGGCAGGCACTTTGGGGGACACATTGCATGTGCTCTGAAGATGCTCAAATGGGTAAACTTCCCTTGCTGCAACTTGAAATTCAGAGCAGCAAGAAGGTCCAGTGTGTAAGAGGCCAGGCGAGAACCCTTAGCACAGCTTACCGAGGCTGGAAGAGGGGTGCTCCCTTACTGGAAATGTCTGTATCTAGATTAGAAAAACACCCAAAGCATGAACGGAAGCAGAACCTCTGCCGTCGGCTGCAATCCAGGTGAAGCAGCAATTGTCACAGCCTGCACCACTGTGACAGGTAATCACTCTGAGCCACCCTTTATGTGGCCCACACACCTGTCCCTGGGGCAACCGCCCGCCTACTCTTCTGCCACGCCTTGGTCTTAATTAATTAGTGTTAATCTGCAGGAGGCTGCCCTTATACTGCCCCACTGCTAGGGGGCGCTATCTGCGGCTCCGTTTCCTCTCCTACACTGCAGTCTACACCTCGCCGATGTTACCTCAGGTCTACCCCTATCTTGGCCCCTTCCTGTTCTCTCTGGGCCTTCCATCTCTCTGCCCTCACTTGGTCTTCCTAATAATGTAGCCCCCTCTCTGGGGCTCGCCGTGCCCACACTTGGGCTTCTCAGTCGTGCTGCCCCCCTATCTGGGGCTCGCCATGCCCAACTTGAGCTTCTCGTAATGCTGCCCCCTATCTGGGGCTCGCTGTGCCCACACTTGGGCTTCCTAATGATGCTGCCCCTGCCTGGGGCTTGCCACACCCGCACTGGGGCTTCTCAAATGCCCCTCTCTGGGGCTCGCCACGCCCACACTAGGGCTTCTCAAATGCCCCTCCCTGGGGCTGGGGTCTATGCACCCCGTGTGCTGCGCCCGCTGGTGCTGGGGTCCTCACACTCCACTGTGAGTCCCCTATGAGGCCTCCTCCAACCCCTAATAGCCTCACCCAAACCACCGGTGCAAAAGCAACAAAGCAAAACACACCAGCCCCTAGGCTATAACATAACGTACAGCCGCTCGGCTAAAACAACATTGCTCAACTCAGGTCAAGCTATACCTGGAGTTCAGCTTCTCTTCACATCCTGCCTTAGGGAGCTCCTGCCTCTCTGGCTGCTGGCAGGGGACTGCCTCAGGCCTCTGCTCCTGGGCTTTATAAGGGCCAGGCCCTGCCCCTTCTGGTCAACTGACCTCCTTTGGTTGCCCCGGCAACCCACAGCTGTGCTCCTTAGTCACTGCTAGGGCTCCTTCCCTAGCAGTTTTCCCCTCTACAGGCACAGGGCACCTCAGTGCTCTGTGACAGTTATGCAGGGGTTCAGTCTAGATGGTGATGGAGGTCATGTCTTTTGGACTAGAAGTCTGCGAAAGTCTTACACACACCAGTTCCCCCAGGTAGGGTGAGTGATGTGTAGGCACAGGCGTGTGCTACCTTCTGAGGGCCTGACTCGTTCCAGCAGTGTGGCCAGGAACTACAACTGCAGACCGTGTGGGGGACACGTATCGTGTGACTTCCCTGGAGATGTTTCTTCTTCTTCCAGAAAACCTTCCTGAGTGCTCTCCAAAGAGATCCCATGTCCTCTATGCTCTCCTCCTGCTGCTGAGCGTCCTCCTCGTGGCTTCTCTTGGTGGAGTTATGGCCACATGTAAGTCATGCACCAGTCTCAAACGCAACTTACATGTGAACTTTTGTGACTCAAAATTAATTCACTGGATGTCAGTAAATGCAGAAAACCTAGATATATAAAAAAAGCAACTGGGCACAAGCTGGCGCAATGAACCTTCAAAAAACACCATAATTACCACTGCCCGACCCTGCTGTGCTCTGCTGCTTTGCCTGCAGGTTACCAGGTAGCCTTTCCTTCTGCCAGGTGTTCCCTGCCTCGCTGATGTGGGGCTGGACGTGGGTGAGAGCTCTGCACAGTGTGATCCCACCTTGCTTTCTATGGAAAACCTCCTTGCCTCATTCACTGCTTGGCCAGGTCTCAGTCAGTCCCAGTGGCACCTCTTGGGATTTTCAGCCTTGTCAGTGCAAATGGAATCAGGCTCAATATGAGGTGTAGATCCAAAGATTTCAGGCCAGATTGTGAATGCTGTGGAGAGTCCCTGTCAAGGGAAAATGTCCCTTGGAAGGGAGTGCCCTGGAGCCAGAACCATTGCGCTCGTCAGATATCACTATGAAAACCCCAGTTCCAGTAAATATGCAGGACATATAGCAGGGGGTGGTCCATGCTGCTGGGAGCAACATGAGGTGGATATAGTGGTCTTTTCTGGTCACAATCACTGCACATCTCATCTTGCTGCGTCTCCTCCAGTCTCCTCCATAACTTAACACTTCCCCTCATCCTAAACAGACGTGATCGCTGCGGTGTTTGGTGATGCATTTGAGGGCTCCATAAATATTGTGGATGGAAATGTTTCTGGTCCTGGTTTAGAGAAGAAAGACCCAGAGGATAGAAAAGGCTTCTGCTCATTCTGTGCTCCCAGCATCCTAGTCTAGCCGTGCAGTCAAAGCTAAGGTCCTCACTGTGGAGGAATCCTGTCCCAGCCTCCTCCTCTGCCGGGGGCAGTCTGTCCCTCCTCTCTCTCGCTCATGTGTCTATCACTCCAGTTGCTAAGCAACCCACTCTGCCTAGGTGCCTGAGGACAGGTAAGGGGGCGGGAACTCAACCCCTCCCTTGTTTTAAGCACTGACCTCATGGCATGCAGGTAGGGGCTTGAGACATGTCACTGCTGTAGGGGATGATGCTGTAGCAGTGATGCTTCTCAAGCTGGTTGGTTGGCCTCAAACAACACCTGCCCTACTAATTCTGTTACAAAGCAGCCATGTGGTCTGGAGGAAGGGAGACTTCTTCAACGCCTCTGCTCCTCTGTATGGAGGAAACCTGTCCCAGCCTCCTCCTCTGCTGGGGGTAGTCTGTCCCTCCTCTCTCTCGCTCATGTGTCTATCACTCCAGTTGCTAAGCAACCCACTCTGCCTAGGTGCCTGAGGACAGGTAAGGGGGCGGGAACTCAACCCCTCCCTTGTTTTAAGCACTGACCTCATGGCATGCAGGTAGGGGCTTGAGACATGTCACTGCTGTAGGGGATGATGCTGTAGCAGTGATGCTTCTCAAGCTGGTTGGTTGGCCTCAAACAACACCTGCCCTACTAATTCTGTTACAAAGCAGCCATGTGGTCTGGAGGAAGGGAGACTTCTTCAACGCCTCTGCTCCTCTGTATTCGGGACATAAACTGTTCCACGTCCCCCTGTCCCTGAAGAAGTTGGCCCTGCAGCACCCTGTAGATGTAGCTGACAATGGGTGAAACTGTACGGGTGCAATGGCTCTGCGAGCACGCAGCTGTGGTAGATGGTCCAGGACTGTGTGGGTTGTAGGTGAGTTGTTGTGGGGCCCCTGGAAACCAATAAATGGGGATCCAAGAGGAAACGGTCTTCCCAGTCTCTAAGCCAGTCCAACTGACTTGTGTGTAGACAAGGCCACAGGAGCACTGGCTCTACAGCCCATTGCTGTACACAGCCTCACCGGTGCTCTCACTAGGCAGGCACGGGCTCATCGTTCTCCTCTGGACAAATGAGAACCCTTCCGAGCCGGCCCTGATGTCCTCCCTCGATGTCCAGGAGCGGCGGGAGAAGCACCGAGTGGCCAAAGTGGTTCAGGGAATCCAAGACTTCTGGAAGGAAAACAGAACTGTGAACTTCTCTGTCCTGGAGCAGACAGGTGAGCAGCAGCACAGGACAGACTGGGTCAGACCAACAGTCCCTCCCCCAGTATCCTGTTGCCAACAGCGGCAGGGGTGGGTGAGAGGAGAGCACTGAACATGCTCCATCCCCTCTTCAACACCCTCCCCGACGCCCCCCAGCACTGGGTGAGACATGCCAGAGGAAACGTCTCCACCCGTTCTGTGCCACAGCCACGAGCAGATCCATCCTCCAGCCATGTGTCCAGCCCCTTGCTGCCCCTGGCTCTGCTCTCTGCCCCCACCCCTCCTGGGGCAAACAACTACACACAACCACTGCACCTTGCATCAAAAAGTCCTGTCTCTTGCTAGGTTTACACACATCACCTACTCATTTCAGTGTGTGCCCCCGGTTCTGGGAGTTGGTGAACAACAGGCCCCTCTTCCCTTCGTTAACACCCGTCAGCATTTTGTAGACCTCGATCCTATCCCACCTCAGCCTTCTCCTTCCCAGTTGAAGACTCCTGGCCTTTTCAGTCTTCAATTTGTTTTACCCCTGCCTGCCACCGGCCCCTGCCCTTCTGTTTACTCATAAGAAGGATCATCTTATGCTGCTGGTGGCGGTAGGGTTGGTGCATTTGCTCAGCTATGATGGTCCATGACATGTACAGAGGCAGGGATTTGGCGTGAGCCCTGTTCTTCGACTCACTTAATACCTGGAACAGGTGTTGAGCCAGGTTTGAGCATCGTGTGCCTTCTTTGGGTCTCCTTTCTACTCGTGGAGGAAGCGGCCACTACCAGAGGCTGAGGAAGGGCAGGTGATGCTTGTCCAACCCCACTTCCAACTATTCAGTTTGCCTGATACAAGAGGCTGCTCCCAGCCCTTGCCCCTCATTGACAGTGTTGGCATTCGGTGTGGTGGGGTGGGAGGGTAGAACCCCTGCCTGGAGGCACAGTGGGGTCAGATGGCAGTGCCAGGAACACCATCTGTCACGTCCTGTCCTGGTTTGGGCATCACCTCGTTTGCGTGACCTGCTCAGGCTCACACCATGGGGCTGCCTCCTGTGAAACCTTTCCATCCTTCCTAGGCCAGCAGCTGGTGGGTGAAATTCAGCCATTACGGGGCCTGTGGGAGGAGATCGTCTCGCCCTGCGCTGTGCTCCAGGAGCAATACCGTGAGTACCAGAGGCAAGCGCTGCACTCAGGTCTGCTAGGGCAAGGGTTGAAGGGAAGGGGAAGACATCCACCACCCCTGAGCCAGGCCCAAGGTGAAGAGATCGA